GAGCTGCAGGCTAAATGTCAGAAGCAATTCCAGCCTGGAAATGGATAGTGCCATCCATCAGTCCTGTAAGCCTCTTGTGGAAGATGCTGAGGAAGCAAATCTCTATTCCCTAACTGGAGTCAAACAAACTACAGAAAATGCATACTGGCAATACCATCTTACCATGATTTGTACACTGGGTAAAATATGTTAGAACTAGAGAAAAAGAAGAGTCTTTTTTTTTTTTTTTTGGTAATTTTCAATCACGAACTGGCAGATCCAAGAAACTACCACTATTTTGTATTGATTTTTCAGGCCAGAATTCTCATTAACTACATAATGCAAGCGAGCTTACAATATGAGTCCAGGAATCAGCTAGCCAAGAGCCAGGAACAGCATGGAGCTTGGGGTCCACAATACTTTTATATAAAAATTTATCTGATTTCTTTTCAGAATAGAAACAGGTGAGGACTGGGGATACAGCTTAGTTGATAGACTGCTTGTCTAGCATATGTGAAGCCTTGGGTTTGCTACCTCCCACTGCACAAAACCTGAGTATAGTGGCAGGTAACAGTAATCACAGCACTTGAGAAGTAGAGGCAGAAACTTCATAAGTTCAAGGTCATCCTCAGCTATATAATGAGTTCTGTGATATTCTAGGCTACATGAGACATGGGCTGCACATTTCAAAAATAAAACATAAAAGAAATATTGAGCAAACTCTTAGGTTGAAAAGATGTTTAAATACATAATATTAATATATTCCCCTTTATACTTACACAGTGGTAAGTTTTTGTTTGTTTGTTTGTTTGTTTTTACGGTGAGACTTCACAAAATCAAAACTGCATAGTGCCAAGAAAAGCCACCATGCATTCCAAAGTATATCAAGTATTCCAGAAGATCTAAAATCTAAAGGATAGATTACCCACTAGAGAAGCCACATGTCTTTCACTTAGGACAGTCTTCGAAGATACAAACATCAGCTCCCAGCAGACAACAAGTCAAACACTTGAAACATTAAGCAAAGCAAGGATGCACCCTCTTTGGGAAAAGTGAGAGGAAGCTCCCCTATCAATTGCTATACTACATAAGCTGTGAAGGCAGATAGTTTAGCTTTTCAAGCAAGGCTGTAAACTGTGCAGACACACAAATGTTTACATTGGAGTTCACTGGATGGAGTCAGCCAGTACTTAACAGAAACAGGGCACATGTGTGGATGTAGACACAGACTGACTTCAGAAGATACTGTTTTCTGGCACCAAACCATGTATAAAAACTGTTACCTTGCTGGGAAAATAGTTCAGACTTCTATAGTTTGTGAAATTGTTGCCACCTGGAGAAATCAGGACTTGGGGCAACACAGACTGTGCAGTATAGTTAAACAGTACCACCTACGGACGTTTCACTTATTACTAAGTCTATTAGACTTCTCCACAGACTCTTCCGCATAGGCTTATGGAAGGGGTGCTGGTCTGTAGTGACCAAATCTAATGTGGAAGTTCAAAACCTAGCAATTGGTATTATGAGATGTAGCAAAGCCCCAGAACTCAGTATACCTAAAGTTCATGTTATTTCTGCGGATCCCCTTAACCTCTTTGAATGGGCCCACCATCCACCCATATACCTTAGGCATACATCATAGAATCACACAAATCTTCTTTCTCCTTCATCTATGATAAACAGAATTCTAAAAATGACCTCCTCAATGATGTTTACCTTTACATAATTTCCTTTCCTTTAATTATCAGTATGGAGAGATGCCACTATTTTTATGTTACATGACTAAATATTTTAAGGTTTTATTCAGGTTATTAATTAATCAAAGGAGAAATAATATCAGAGCAGAAATTAATGAAATGGAAATATATAAATACTCAGTGAAACAAAGTACTGGACAAAGTGCAACAAAGTAACAAAGAAGGGAAAAGAACCTAATTTACAGAATCACAATGAAAGTGGAGACATCACAATAAATAACAATGAAATCTAGAAAATAATTAGGTCATAACTTAAAAAAAAAAAAACAAAAGTGGTTTTCCTCCTGCACATAACCTACCAAATTTAAACCAAGATAAAATAAACAATTTAAACAGATCTATAAAAATAACAAGATTGAAACAATTTTTAAAAATCTCCAAAGATAAAAATAAATAAATAAAAATTCCAGACCTAGACCTTGGTCTACTAGACCTTTAAAAATGGTTTCATAAACGATGGCATACATTAGAAAAGTAAGGAAAGGAATATGTCTTTTTACAAAGCTAGTATTATCTTATACTGAAACCAACATGAAGATACAAGAAAGAGAAAACTCCATGCAGTTTTGATGCAGATAGATGTAAAATTTGTGCTTTTTCTTCTCAACAAGTGGTACTGGAAAAATCAGATATTCACGAAAGGGAGAGGGAAAAATAACGGGGTGAGGGTGAATGTGATCAAACTGCAAAGATATACAGGCACAAACATATCATTATGAAACATATTTCTTGTAAAGAAAAAAAGAAAGAGTAGCACCTATAAATGTTTTAAAATAAAACAAATAGTGATGCTGTCTCAGACGCTAGCCATCCACAAACATCAGTCATCCTTGTCCAACATCATGGTGCTGTGCTACTGACAGTTCTAATAGTCTGCCTGTTCTCTTGTTGTTGTCTCTGCTTTTTGTCTATCTTTTTTCTACTCCTTACATCATCCACATTGGGAAGAAAGTCAAGACAAATAAAAATGACAAGTTTGAAAATCGCTTTGTATGGTGTCACTTTAGATAGCGTTAGCAAGAATAAACTTAGTATAAGATAGGTGTGAATACATTTAGAGACCATCTTACACAAAAGCAGACCCACTGGGGTGGTACACGCCTTTACTCCCAGCACTCAGAGTAGGAAGCAGGAAGACATCTGACAGATTCAAGGCCAGCTCAATTTCCAGGATTACACAGAGAGATGATGTATTGAAAAAACAAAAGAAGCAAAGAACAAAACATGAGGTTCAGAAATGTGACATGATTGGTTCCATGCCACATAGTGGAGAAAAAGTGAAAAGCTAGAATTCAAATCTAGGCTTCTTTCCAGTTGATTAATGTCAGAAAGTGATTTGTCACTATGGGAGATAAGAATACCAATCCTAATTTTTTATTGAATTAATCAATTCTTGACTCTATTACTGTCTATTGAGCATCATTTGTGTTTCTGTACTTACACACCATTATCATATCCTGGTATTTCGTTGCATCTTCCCTAAAGAACTGATGGTTGAAGATGTTGGGGAATAGTTTCCATCATGCATGGTCTGCAGAGGTGAAAAATTACTCATCATCGGACATTTGACTGCTTACTTAATAGTTGTACATTACCTTTTACACATGATCTGGAACAGTCAAGGATGCCAAGGGATGATTCATCTTCACACAATACAGGAAACCCATACAAAGAACAGTAGAGGTAAAGTAGAGGAAGAGCAGGAACGCTTATTAAGAGGTATGTGAATACCAATAAATTCAATGACTGACTGCAAACAAAGGGTTAACCTTTGTTGTTTTGTTTTGTTTTTTTAAATAGTATGTGTGTGTGTGTGCTTGTGATGTGTGTGAATGATTGTGGTGAGTGTGCTTGTCTATATGTGAATGCTTGTAATACTTATATTATTATTGTGGTGTTGTGTGTGACTGCTTGTAGTTTGTGGGTATTGTGTGTATGTGGGAATGTTTGTAGGGTTTGTGTGTGTGTATGCTTGGGGTATGTGTGTGTGAAAGCTTGTGATATATGAGTGTGAATGTCTGTGCTATGTATGTGTGTGTGATGCATGTGGTTTCTATGCCCACGCTTGTGTGGAGGACAGAAGAGAAAAGTGGGTATCCTGTTGTACCACTCTCTGTCTATTCCCTTGAGGCAGAGTATCTCAGTGAGCATGATCTATAACCTATGCTTCTAGGCATTTTGGTACACAGAACAATTAGAAGTAGAAAAAAGATGCAGATTTATCTAAATTGCCAAGTGCACAGAATATAAGTGACTTTTCCTGAAACTTGAAATCCGGCAGCATGCAATACATACCAGTAATTATGAAGAGAGGGATACTTCTTTATTTAAACACCCATTAGACATTTTGATGTATAGAAGTCTACAGTTTAGTTATCAAAGAACTTAAAGGGGTAGGATTATGGACTGATTGTACCCACACTTGTCTTCTAGGTGGGTGACCAAAATAATCTTTTAAGACAATAGAATGAACCATTGTTCCAATTCCCTTGGAACATTTTTGTTAAATATTTACAGATCTCTATGTTCAAGGGGATAGATTCCTAGCTGCATTCTTTCCCAGATACTAATATAGGTGGCCCTTCAGTGGAGCAACCAATGACATGAAGAACCTGATTTGGAGAAGAACAGATGGTAGCATCTTTCTTGGGCTAATTTTAGAATCCTGAAATAGTTCTTTTCTCACACAAACCATCCATGGAACCAAATTAAAACAGCTGTGTCAGCTATATCACATGGAAAAGGGTAAGATATATATAATCTTACACACATATATATAGTGCAAGGCAAAGACAATGCACCAAAAGTTTCAGTGCTTTCCCCTTGTTTCCCTCCTTTCATATAAATATGAAGGTCACTTCAACTTCCTTACATCCAAATAGAAGCAAAACACCAACATGGAAGCATCTTCAAAAAGGAGTGGGACAGACAAACAATATCATAAGTCATATGCATTGAAAGTTTGCAACATAATACATATAAATTCATATAAATTTGTAAAACATAGCTTTAAAGGCATTTTTATTTTCAAATAAAGAACTTCAGGGCTAACTGACTGCTATGCCTGATCAATCAAAAGTGGAATGAATTTCAAGGCAGCCAATTTCTGGTTCATTGCTTTGTCCTTGAGAATATTTCTCCAAAATGAGATAAAGAATGTCGGTTAAGAAAGAATGGATATAGGGGGAGAGACCTTCAATCATGATAGGCATAAGATGATCATCAGTTGGGAAAATGAGAAATGTACTTTACACAGGCACTGACCTGTTTTCCTTCAATGGTATAGAGTTTTTTGACAACTCCAGTTTCCAGCTTGATGGCTTCTGTGATATCAGTGAGGACCTGCTCAAAAGAGTGGGCTGTTTTCTTGTTGAGAAGCACACGCACTGCCTTCCGAGGCTTCACCCCACTGCGGATGATGGTCACAAGTTTGGGTCTCACGAAGTCCTTGTTCTCTCTGGCTTGAGCGCTGTTGCTGCTAGCCAAGGACTGAGGAGCCTTCATGTTAGCAGATGTCTTTACGTTGACTGACCAGTTAGGATTAACATTCTTGGTGTACTCAACCTTTTTAAAGAAGTTGTCTGAGGAACAGACATAACTTTCCCCTAAGGAAAGAAGTAAATGTTTACATATTTAGTTCAGTAGTAGATATGCAGATGTAAATCAGCCTGATGTAGTAAATAGTATACTGAAATAAGGCTTTTGGAGAAATGTTGAGGTAATAACCAACTTTATGTCCAGTTCTTAAATGGGTCCTCTGACAACTTGACTTATTCAAATTCAAAAGTAATCAGCTAAACATTTTTTAAGGCAATGGCACAGCTAGTTGAAGAAACTTGTATATCTAAGGAATGTAGCAAACAACTCTATGCATGATTTAATAAGTGAGGTTCCCACAATCAATATGATGTTACTGGAATATAAATACATTTCATTTTCTATGATGTTCATTAACTTACGTGCACCACTTGAGCTTGTTCAACTTCTCTATTTCCTGATGTTCCCATGCTACTTTTGCACTCATAGTCTCATCTTTTTGTAATATTATAATCCAAGAAAAACTTTCAAAGTTAATTTATTTTTATTTCAATTGAAATGAACCAAAAACACCTTACATATCAGACAATCAATAGACAGTTGGTCAAAAGACAAACCTTCCTTTGCACACACGATTGGGCTATTGGTAGAATTATTAAAATATGAGGTGAGTGTGTGCGTGTATGTGTGTGCTTGCGCGTTTGTGTTTGTGTGTGTATAAGTTGAAAGTCTAAACATGTGTATGAGCACATTATCTACTGCTTATACCATACAAATGAAGGAAATATCTTAACATACACACATATATGCACACACACACACAGTATTCCTAGCATTTGCTAATCTAGCTCTTCTTTGTGAAATATGTTTTCCTTTTTTCTACCACCCTCTTTACATCTTTCTCCATCCCCCTAAATATTGCACACTACATCTGTGTATTTGGTGCCATCTCCAACAGTTGCTTCTGGCTGCCTTGAATAAAGAGTGGGAGATGGTTGCATTATGCAGCCTGATTGAGTTGAAAAGGTCCAGTATAAGTTTTACATTTACTGAATGCTTGGGGAAAGGACTAAGACAGTTGGAAGAATACAGTGGCCAGAGGTAATAGGAGGACATTAGACGCCCAGAACTAGAAACTGAAGGAAATTTGAAGAGAGGTAAGCTCAGCCTGAGGAACTAGTATATTGAGAGAGGGAGAGAGAGAGCTGAATTTTCTGAGTAAAAAACATTAACCTCAAGGTGTACAGAAGTTCATCTAGAGGTTGAGCTTTAGACGCAGTAATTTGATCAGGCTTTAAGTCATCAGTAATAAAGCTAAATATGTAGACAAATATATAATCCTTAACCAGTGCCAAAAAATAAACGAAATTAAAGTCTGATGGCTCTTCTGCTTCTTTTGTTCTCAACAGCAGAACTACACAGAAACATTCAGAAACACTAGATTGACAATTCATTCTCTTTGAAAATATTGATTGTACAGAATCCTTTAAGTCATGTGAAAGAATAACTTCTCCGTTAGTGCTAAGCTTCAGTGGCGATCTCCAGGATAGCTTTGATGGGACAAGTATGTGTGTGTAGAGGGAAGGTAGCACACAGGCTGCTTAATCTCACTAATGGTCTGTTACAATAGAGAAACCAAAAGATGAATCATAGGCAATCATAGGCAATAGCCCTATTTGGTGCTCATGTGTTCGGGAGTTGTGGACACAAGCTGAAAGAGACCATGCCTCAAATGGATAAAGGAGTCTTTTCAGTTCTTCTATGTATTTGTAGCCAACTTCACACACACACACACACACACACACACACACACACACACACACACACTTGAAATGGCCTCTTGCCTCTGCATTTTATCATATTCATAGACATCTCCCCAAGAGGTCACTGTCTTTGAGTCAGATATTTTCCATAACTTGTCATACACTTTCAAACTCTGTCAGACAACTGGTGGAGTGGAAACATCCAGGGCTTTATATTTATGATTTCACTCATCTGCAGGCTCTTCTGACGAGTCATATGTGTAGCCCTATCAGGGCTCTGAACTTTTTTTGCTCCCCACTCTTAAACCTCTAAGCCTCTGAACTACAAGTATGATTAACTATCCCCAGACAAAAATGAATATGATGGCAAATAATTAGAGTATCATATGGCACCCTAGAACTTTCCACAGGGCTCAGCCCATAACCAGTTCTATGTTGAGTACCTTCTAAAGGTATATTTTAGTCACTCCACTCTCTACTTTTGTCCTGAAAACATAGCAGTGGAAAAAGAACAGCTGGTATGATGTCAGTCAGATTGCTATTCCTAACCCTTTCTAGTTTCATGACCTTTGGCAAATTACCTGACTTCCTTGGCAGCAGTCTCTTGTCTGAAAAGTGGGGGTGTTAATAATAAGCCCTACCTTACAGGATTGCTATGGGGCACAAATCCAGTGGTGGATGAAATGAGCTGAGGCCAGAGGCTGGAGTGTAGTAAGCACTTCCTAAGTTTTCATTATTACCATTAAGCCCCTCATCTGAAGAAACAGAAAACTAAGAGAAAACAATAAAGAGAAAGAGGAAAAAGTAAAAGCTAAGAGAGAAGATATAGGGTGATAAGGACCCAAAGCTAAAGAACAGCAAAGAATGCATCAAGATCAGCTGTCCCTGGCCTGAACTGAGCTGATTGTATAATGTGAGCATTTCTAAGGTCCTCTGCTTCAAAGACATGATTGGCTTCTGTAGGCTGGGCATGGTGGCACATGCCTTTAAATCCCAAAACTCTCAGGAAACAGGGGCAAAATCATCTTGTGAGCTGGAGGCAGCCTGCTTCACATAGTGAGTTCTTGACCAACAAGGTCTACCGAGTGATACCTTGTCTAGAGAGAGAGAGAGAGAGAGAGAGAGAGAGAGAGAGAGATACGTAGATACATAATTTCTAGCTGCTAGAAAAGAAGCCCCTGGGTGCTGCAAATAACAAATGCAGGGGCTCTATAAATCACATTCAGCAAAGTCATTGCTGTCTGCTGCAACTGTTGATGCCCTCTTAGGGAAAGACATTTATGATGATTAAGAAGAGTGACTTAGCCAGGCATGGTAAATGTACATTTATTATCCACACACTTGCAAGAGAGAGGCAGTGGGGGTAAGAGTTCAAGGCCGAGAGTGGGAGTGGTGGAGAGGAAACTGGTAGGATTTCAAGGACATCTTCAGCTACATAACAAGTATGATATTAGCCTGGGATATAGGAGGCTAAAAGACACAACAAAAACACTAATGCCTTGCAGCAGAGCATGGTGGTCAATGAGTGTAAATCTCAGCACTGAGGAGGATGAAGAAGATAGACCTTAATTCAAATCACAGCTAGGAATTTAGGAGCCATATGAACTAAAGCATGTCACTTAATCTCCCCAAGTCTAGATTTATTTATCTACAAACTGAAGGCCTTTCACTAAGTGATAGCAAAGCCTCTTGGGGTCCTAAAGATGTATAAAAAGGACTTTTCTTTTTCAATCTCATGCAGGCTTGAGGAAATAGTATTGCAGTAATCAAAACTAGATACCCACCACCAAGGACCTTCTACTTTTATTATTGGAAAGACCTAGGTGTATTGCTTGGTTATACATAAGATTTCCTTGTTCTGATCTTGCAAACATTCCCCAAGTCTATTTTCAGAGCCTGGCACTTCCTACCCAGTCAGTTACTTAACAGTTGGAGCTGGTTGAGGCATATTGCCTCTTTCCACAGCCAAGTCTCCACCCTGCCATGGACACCAGGGGCTAGTTTCCACCTTCTGGGAACCTAGAAAGAAAGCTGTTTCTCAGCCAAGGAAGGTGACAATTTGCTGAAAAAAAAAAAAACCTGCTTTAGAATGACAGTTAAGAGAAATGAATGGTGGAAAGACAACTAAAGTGGCAGAAAAGGAAGTTATTACATTCAAAATGATCCAATGTGTAACCCTCTTCACCTTTAAGAAGGCCCCATTTTCCAAAGAATTGTGTACATTTATAATCTGTTAGTGTAAAAACACTTTTCCTTGGACTTTCTTTTCTTTCTTGGGGATTCCTAGCTCAAGAAAGAAAATACTGAATAATAGTTTGTTTCCTTATTACATTAAAATATTAAATTATGGGGTATTGTATTATCATACCTCTTAATGTATCACTCCAGAGTATTATAAGACTACTGCTATAGGTGATGTTCTTGCTTTAGGGATTAGAATCTAAGTGGAAAGCTCGCTTCATCTCATTGAAACAAGTGAATGATGGTAAAGGAACCAGATAACACAGTGTCCCTATATAGCTCAAATTATCCAAGACTGGCCCACTTTTAAGTATTCTTCCAATATTTAATAGTATTCCACGTTTTCTTAATACATAAAAACTGGCTAGTCACAATTATACCCCTCAAGTTCATAAGTGTGTATAAACATGAAGGTGAAGAAAAGATGAACTATGAGGAAAGTGGAGAATGATTCTCTAATGAAGGATTTTTTTTTTAAAAAAGGCAAGACAAAAGGAAATGCCACCAATGGATCTGCTTTATTGACCAGCTGGGGATACAATTAATGAGGGCTACATCCTCTGTGGTTTGGCCAAGGCCATTGGTGTATGTAAGACACTGTGGAATGGCTGACATGAAAAATGAAGTTTAGACTCAAAATGTTCCCTTGATGCTTTCCACATCGAGCAGCAGACAGTTGACTAGAGTCACCAGACAAAAAGAGTGCCAGCAGTGCCATAAGGGCAGAGTGATTACCAGTCGCTTTTTATTTTATCTAACTTTAGGCTAACTATTTAATATTCTGATCATTTGGGAATGTAATATGCTGTATTATCCATTTCTTTGAGATCTACAAAGCAAAAAGGAACAGAAATGGGGATTTCTACAGCTAGGAACTCTGCCTCACTGATGCTAATGGAAAAGACTCATAAAAATCACCTCATCTAACACTCTCCATGTCTTAATAAACAAAAGAATTTCTCAATACAGACTATAAAAATTAATTTGGAGGCCCTAGATTTGGAGTTACTCTGTCAGTTGTCCTGGACTGTGTTCATTTATGAATCGATTTTCAAAGCAATTGCTACCATTTTATAGATTTAAAAACTGAAACTTTTTTTATGATTTTCTCAGGTTTCTACAGCTTAGAAGATAATAGATCTGAATTTGAAACAAATAATATTCCCAATATTTCATTTTCCATTATAATCTGCTCCTGTAATCCTGTTATCTGATTCTTCACCAGAAACCTTTCCTAAAATCCTCAGTTTTAAGCTTAACAGGAAACTGTGCATTAATAATTTTTGATCTTCTAGAAGTAAGCAAAGTAAAGGGATTTCTGAACTTTTTCCTAGATAAGTAGCTCTAATTAACAATATGAGATTGAAGAAAACACTTTTTGTTCCTCACCCCAGTGCACTTTCCCACTTGGCTCTATGGCAGAGGGAAAAATTAACACATTATCAGCATTCTCCCAGAAATACCTCTGGATTTCCTCAACATATGACTGAAAAAACATTGGCATCCACAGTAACTTGGGCTTGTCTAAGACAAGATGGCTACATAAAATTGATCCCTGTTCAGATTCTATACTGTTCAGGAGCACATCAAGACATACCAATACCCCCAGGTAGATCCTTTTAAGTTAGCAAGAAACAAAAGAACACAAGTGAAATAAAGCTGTGGTCTGTTTTTAAAATTAACACTGATCATTTATAGAATTCATTTGATATTGTTTATCATCTTGTTTTTCTCAGTACACACATATACACATGGATGGTGGAAATTTTTGTTTTTGTTTTTGTTTTTTTAATAATGGAAATCCATGCAAAACAATGTTAATAAATATAACATTTTCACTCTTACTCAGAATACTGTCAGTTGGTTCAGAGTTCTGACCTAGCATGTATTGTGGCCTTTAAGTGTTCACAGATGATGGAAATTAAGATAAACTGAGAGATTCAGTGTGCTTTGTTTATAAAATATATTAAAGAGAAATCCCTCAACTAAGATAAATATTTTACAGCAATTGAAGACACATACCTTATTTATCACTCTGTTGGACAGCTCCCTTAACAGAACCATCAAGATATGGAATTGAGCCCTTTTGCTCTTTCCCCTCTTCCTGCTCTCTCCCCCTTTCCCCAGCCCTCCACCACCAGCATGAGCTCACCTTTTCCTTCCACAGTCCTCATTGTTCCCAATAAACGTATATATATATATGGTGTTGACCCCAAATAGCCTCCTTTGATTTTAAGATTTGCACTAAAATGATTAACTCTGCGATGATCGGGCAAGACTAGGGTGAATGTTTGCCTACCCAATCTGTATGTGATATGTATGGATTTTCAAAGTCAGCTATGTAGAAAACTCTTCGATTTGAACCCTGACACTCAGATGGAAGCACTGTGTGGGCATCATCTCTTATAAGTTGCTTTTTCCAAGTCACCTCACTTTGATACTTTGAAAAACCACAAGTACATGAGGGAAATAGCACCATGCATAAGTAATTATTCATGTTCCTTTGTCTAGAAACATAGGAAACCTCAAAGCTGGAACTAAGTCATGAATTGTGCTGTTTCTTTTCCCCTGTTGGCTATTTATAATCTGAATTCCTTAGAGATCTGTTTGCACTGAGTTCACCTTTGCCCAGAGATTGGGGACAATGGGAAGGGAGGTAGGGCTGAATAATGTAAGAGAGACTAAAAGAACATGTTCATTGTTACTGTTTCTTGAGGCTATCTTTTACAGTGCCTATGGGTTAAATTGATCAAGACAATTTATATAGCAGTAAAAATTAGTAACAAAATGACCCGAGATTTATTTTCTAAATATCCATTAAAAAAAGATCTGGGGTTTTTCTCTGTTGTCACATGGGTATGCATGTTGTCAAGGTTTTCAGCAATCAACTAAAAAAAAAAATCAGTTACATTTCCAAAATCTATAGAGGATTTGAAAATATTTAGGTAGAGTGACTCATTTCTACTCTAATAGAGCTACTCTAATGGTGGTTCATTAAATTCCAGACATACCTACAGCTTTCTTTTGTATTTCTCACAATGATCTCATCCTCATGGACACATCCTAAAAAGAGCTTTTTAAAAGCAACAGCTGAGTAGCAACCACTCACCTAAAAGTCTAATTGTCTCCGAGTATACGTTCTGCACTGGGGCATGTATGCCTAATGAATGGCAATTTCTGAGTAATTTCTCAGTCGTTCATAGTCAATTTTGTATGTTAAACCAACCAAATGTTCTTCTTTCCCCTAATGGTTTCATGGCCTGCTTTGATGGTGCTCCACAGAGCAAACTATGAACAAGATCTAGAATGAATGTCACAATTCAGACTTTCCTTTGTATACCTGGGCAGATAAGCTCATTTAGTATTAGCAAACCCACCTCTATTTCAACCTCAGCAGAGATGGAACCCATGATGAGTGATGGTTAAGGGTCCTGTTGGTGACTTTGGAATCCAAAACTTGAGCAACAATCAACCTGATGTTTTGGCAAATAAATAGTCTAGTTTTCTTTAAGGTAGACTAAAAATGTAACCCTATGCAAAAATGTCCTTTCTCTCCAGGGGCCACCACCCACCACTTGAATTACCTTCTTCCAGTTCGTCCATGCTTCCGATCTTCCTGGATCCATCAATGGTATAGATATAGCGGACTCCCTGAGGCAGATTGATGTTGTCGGACAAGGATCGGGTCAGGTCAGCCAGCAACGCGTCAAAACTACGGAAACGGTCAGAAGAAACAGCGTACACAATCCCTTTGAAGTAACGGTCCCCATTGCGGTAGAAACGTACCTTCTTGGCCTTCTTCTCATTACTTAGTGCCTGCAAGGTTCTGGTTCTGTAGAAGCTACAGTGGGCACTATGAGTGGGACTTGGTAGCCCATTCATGCGTGACCCTCTCATATTTCTAGATGCTTTGTCTCTTTCGTCAAAATGTCCAAAATCAAGTTCCATATTTTGGTAGGACCACAGCAACCTGATTGTTAGAGAAAGGGGGAAGGGGAGATAAAGAGAGGCAAAGAAAGGGTGAGAAAAAAGGAATTAAAATATTAGCCAGATCCAGAGCTGTAATCTGCTGCCTGTGAAAAGAACTGGTAAAAAAAAAAAAAAAAAAAAAAAAAAAAAAGCCTGTGACCCATCTGCTGCTTGCCCCTGACCTGCAGAAATATTGATTTTTCTAGAGAAGAAGGAGAGGCTGTGCAGTAGGCTAAAGATGGGATGATGGTGGGGAGGGGGCCAGGAGAAAGAGATAGAATGGGTTGCACGTTTGGCACCGTTCCAAATTTGGGAGGGGATGTGGAAATAGCTTGAAAACCTGGAACTTACTGACAGTGACTCCCTATGAAATTGTAACTTCAGGCAAAATACATTAAAACTGACATCTGCTACTTCACACATGGCCACATGACTAACAGTTGTAAATGAATCCCTAGCCTGACAAAATTCCCCCTTCGAAGAGAAGCAGAGGGGACTAGCCAAGGTTAGCATCTCCACCTGAGGAAGACGTCTTTGCCTCTCACTGCAATGACAATGAAGAGGGGTGTGATCATTTTATTCCAGATCCCCTTTTACCTACTCTAATATGTGTATCCCCTCCCCCAAAATAAGCTAGGATTCTCTCTTAAAGGGATGGCCTCCAGGGAATACCCAGTGTCTTTGTGCTAGTCATCAGACCCTCTCCCCATCAAGCTGGTGCTGCTATAAAGCATCCATAAGAAATAAGCTGGGGTCTAGAAGGGGTGGAGATGCCGAAAACCCAGCTATATAGCAATCTGTTAGCGAGGCTGTCCCCTTGTTTCCATTTGGTCACAGAATCTTTTCTTTCTCCTTTCAGGTGTTTCATACCCTCTCTAACCAATGCCGGGACACCTCTTAATAGAATAATTAAATGGTGGAAAGATTCCCAATCGGGTCCCTGAATAGCACAGGGGATCTTTACCATCGAGCACACCTTTCATTCATTGTTCTGAATTTCTCCCCTGACTGAAGGGACATTTTGCCTTCACAGCAGGCAATTCACTTCAAACTTGTCTATTGCCTAGGTGCATAGATGGAGGCAAAAAAAAAAAAAAAGTCATCTGTCAAGCTTTCATTTCACCCCTCCACACCCTCTAAACCCCTCCCCACCAGAAAAAAAGCACCAAAACAATGAAAACATGCAACCAAATAAAACAACCAAAGCTCTGACAGCTTACAAAGGTAATATGACATCCAAGAAACCAAACTATTAACATTCATCTCACAGATAGGGGAAAAAAACTCACAAAGAGGACTCAGCTGCTACATACTGCCACATAAAGATTTGTAAGGAACCAGGGATACAGGATATAAAGGGGGACTGGTAGCTGGTATATTTGCCAGGCTCAGTCCTCCCTTTTTTTCCAGTGTCACCATGACCTATGCTGAGCTCAGCATTGTCTCTGTCAGACAACTAGCAGTAGTAAGACCTCACCTCCGCAACACGAGTAGCAAGCATTTTCCCCAGGCTGGCTATGCAAATAAAGCTCTGCTATAGAATCAGAAGAGCTATTATTCTAAATTAGCATCATAGTGAAAACAAAGGTACAACAAACTCACTTTTCCAAAGGAAAATCCCAGGTAGAATCTTAGAAGACAAAAAAAAAATCCTATAGAATAAGGCAAAGAAAAAAGAAGAAAGAGACAGACACACAGAGAAAAAGAGCTGGATGCCGTGTGCTTCTCCCGTTTGACATCTGTTACATTCTGCTTGAAAATCACTCAAAAGCCCCACTCACCGGTTTTCTGCTGGTTGGGTGGAGATGCTGAGAGAAAGAAAACCAATCTCTCTGTGCCTTTGTTGTCTGAGCTCCAAGCAAGAATTTCCTGCCAGGGTGGATAGTTGCCTTCTAGGTCCTAGTGCCTTGTCCAGCTTCTCTCCTGTAACTCAAGCTTAGCGAACACCCCCCCAACCTCCTATGATTAATTACATGCTTTTTTTTTCTTCAATTCACAGCCTGCATTAACAGCTAGAATGGTTTCATTTATAACCTGCAGGAAATTGCAGGGTAGGAAAAAAAAAAAAAAAGATTGCACAGGCAAGCTCAGAATGCTCTAATGAGCATTGTGCTAGCCCTTTCTCTTAGAAAATTGGCAATTTTACTTGGATAAAACCTCGAGTTAATCTGCTTAGTGGCTGGACTCAGCAAGACAAACTAAGATTCTTAGAAATTACAGCTCTCTTCCTTTTACCTTCTTCAAAGAAAATAAAATCTGCAAATTCTTTAACATTTGAACTCATGCCTTCAACATTGATTATTTTCTAAATAAGTCAGCAAGGATAGGAAATGGACACTACAAAGGGAAATAATTGCAGAAATCATGAAGGTTAGAGTTGAAAAGTGGCACTCCTTCAATTTTTTGTTCAGTTGTTTTATTGAATCAGGGTCCAGCTTTGCAGTTATAGTTGACCTGGAACTCACCAGGTAGCCCAGGTTAGCCTTCAACTTGCTGGAATTTTTGGTTGCTGTTCTGCTTCCTGGATATTAGGATTTGCCGGTACTTAGGCCTTCATGCATTTCTCCAAAGCATATTAGGCTGATGTAAAATATTGGTTAATATTTCACCTACCCACTCATGGGCATATATTCAAAGGAGACAATATCCTACCATTGAGATACTTGCATACATGTGTTTATTACTGCTCTGTTCATAACAGCCGGAAAGTGGAAACAGACCAGATGCCCATTAACAGATGAGTAGGTAATGAAAATGCAAGATATATGCACAGTTTTAATCCTAAAAAGTGAAATTATAAGATTTGCAAGATATTGGGTTAAAATGAAAATGCTATACTGAGTGCGCTATCCTAAGCTGAGAGAGACAAAAGAATTCTGTCATATATGATTCTAGCTTATTGTATGGTGTGTGTACAGGTCATGAAGCTTCAAACCAGCCTGTAAAAGAAATGGGTTTTAAGAAACAGGGATTGAGCCCCATCCCGAAAGGCAAAGAGGATGGACATCAGAAGAAAACAGGAAACAACCTAGGAACCTGCCACAGAGGGCCTCTGAAAGGCTCTGCCCTGCAGACTATCAAAGCAGACACTGAGACGTACAGCCAACTGCCGGGCAAAGTACATGGAATCTTACCTAAGATGTGGGAAATAGTAAGAGCTGGAGAGGACAGAAACTCCACAAGGAGAGCAACAGAACCAGAAAATTTGAACACAGGGAACTTCCCAGAGACTCATACACCAACCAAAGACTATTCATGGAGATAACCTAGAACCCCTGCACAGATGTAGCCCATGGCAGTTTAGTGTCCAAGTGGGTTACATAGTAATGGGAAGAGGGACTGCCTCTGACATAATCTGATTGGCCTGCTCTTTGATCACCTCCCCCTGAGGGGAGAGTAGCCTTACCAGGCCACAGAAGATGACAATGCAGCCACTCCTGATGGGATATGACAGACTAAGATCAGAAGGAAAGAGAGGAGGACCTCCCCTATCAATGGACTTAGGGAGGGGAATGCGTGAAGAAAGGGGAGAGAGGGTGGGATTGGGAGGGGAAGAGGGAGGAGCTTATGGGGGAATACAAAGTGAATAAAGTATAATTAATAAAAAATAAATAAGCTATTAAACTTAAAAAAAGAAATGGAGATTGAAATCTAGTTCATAGAATGGAATCATTTGCTTCTTTAAGACTGGTCAACCAAGGACCATCTATGGATATAACATAGAACTTCTGCTGGGATGTGGCCCGTGGTAGCTCAGTAACCAAGTAGTTTTCCAAAGCAAGGGGAACAAGGACTATTTCTAACAGGATCTCAAGGGCAGGCTCTTTGTCCTCCCCCCCCCCAGGGGAGGAGCAGTCCTGTTAGGCCACAGAGGAGGACTTTGCAGCCAGCCTTGAAAGATACCTGATAAAACAGGGTCAAATGAAAGGGGAGGAGGTTCTCCCCTATCAGTGGACTTGGAAAGGGGCAGGGAGGAGACCAGGGAGGGAGTTGGGGAGGGGGAGGGAATGAGGTAGCGGGATACAGCTGGGACACAGAGTTAACAAATTGTAACTAAAAATAAAAATAAAATAAAAAAAAGACTGGTCAGAACCCTATTATATCTGTGGAAGTTGTAGGCCTTAGGAAGAAACTGATTACTGTTATTTTGGTCTATGGACATGGTGTCAAACTACCTCCTCAGTGTTTGTGTTTTCACATAATAGATTACAGATTAATTGAAGATTAGGGCTGTTCAGTCATGATCAAAGAAATTTCTGTCTGCAGTTGCCAACAGTTAACACAGAGACTCATAATTGGTCTATGTGTTGAGAATAAGTGACTGTTGAGTGCTCAGCCTTAAGTGGAACATTTTATCTTCTCCTCTGAGGTTCAGCTTCATTATTGAAAGGTGGTGGTAATGGAAGAATATAAAAGCTGAAGTAAGGTGAGGCTTCTGTGCATGGCACTCATGAACTCATGGTAGCTGTTAATAGAACAAGAGCAGTACAAGATCAGGACATCAACATTCTATTATGGATGGAGTAGGAGAGGCTCACCATTCCCTGAGGAAAAGCAATTAATGTTTTCTGTCAGAAAAGGACACAGACCACGCTCACAGTAAGACTCAAAGATATGTCATAAGAGCATCAACCCCCTTCCAACATCATCCATACATTTCAAGAAAAAGCCTAATAAAATAATTTTTATGAAATCTCAAAAAGATGTTAAAATTGTTATGAAGGAATACAAAGCTTTACGTACAGCTAAGATGAGAGAGAGACTCATTACAAATCAAGATTTAATCCACCAAGATTTATTATAAAATTATGAAAATTAACATAGTATAGATATAACATTGTCTTGGAAGACAGATCTTGGGAACCAAACAGATGACAGCATCAATAGGAGCTTAGAGTAGGAAAATATAATGGTGAGAGCAGGGGCTTTGGAGCCAGGCTACTTGAGTTCAAATTGGGATACTACTAACTCTTTGGTGGTTGACTTAGGTGAAAATATAAAAATGTGAGTCCTTTGATGAAGTGATAGGGTCTTGAGTATTCCCCCAACCCTGAATAAAATTAAGGCTCCCTTTTTTCACTTTTTTTAATTTTAATTTTATTTTTATTAATTAGTTTATTCCCTTTGTATCCTACCTGTAGCTCCCTCCCTATTTCCATCTCAATCCCACCCACCCTCCCTCTTCTCCATCCATGCCCCTTCCCCAGTCTACTGATAGGGGATGTCCTCCTCCCCTTCCATCTGATCCTAGTCTATCAGGTCTCATCAGTGAGTGGTTGCATTGTCTTCCTCTGTGGCTGGGTAAGGCTGCTCCCCCGAGGGGCAGGTGATCAAAAAGCCAGCCACTCAGTTCATGTCAGAGATAGTCCATGTTCATATTACTAGGGAACCCACTTGGAAACTGAGCTGCCATGGGCTACATCTATGCAAGGGTTTAAGTTTATCTCCATGAATGGTCCTTGATTGGAGTATCAGTCTCAGAAAACACCTCTGTGTCCAGATTTTTTTGGTTCTTTTGCTCACCTTCTGGAGCTCCTGCCCCTCCAGGTCTTTCTATCTCCCCCTTCTTTCATAAGATTCCCTGCACTCTGCCCAAGGTTTGACTATGATTCCCTTTAACCCACGCACAGAAATCCTTCTTCTGTAGCTGAGACAACAAAGGTGGGCCTCCCAGTTTTGCTGTAACGGCAGGAGGCTGTACAGGTCTCCCAAGGTCTGTGGGTGGGTGGCTGTACAGGCTTCCCAGGGTGTCCCAGCCCAGCAGGTGGCTGTACCAGCCTCCCAGCTCTGCAGCTGTAGCAGCGGAAGAGTGGTAGGTAGGCCTAACAAGAGCATCCATATTCTGTGACTGAGACAATAGAAGTGGCTACTCCAAGAAGGGTCTCTCAGCCCAGCAAACAAACAGTGAACACCACTGAGCTGATGGATCTCTTACACTCTTATTTGCACCTGCAGGCCCAAATCTGAGAATACAGAACAGAGGGAACCCTTGTGCTTTCTGATTAGGCCTGTTAGCAAGTGAGTGCACCTTCAAGTGAGTACATGCAGAGCACCAGATCAAGGGTCCCTCTACTATAGCAGCAAGACATCAGATCCCTCCCACCCACACAACCCACTGTGGGCAACATGGGGATTCTTGAGACAGCGTTGTCAACATTGAAGCCCCTGGTCTGTGGGTATACCAGTGGAGTCCAGGAAAATACTTCCTGGAGCCCAAACAGATTTTGAATAGCAGGAAGACAGGCCTCTAGACCACTGAGGTATTCAGGGCACCTGTAAAAGAGCATTTGGACCCCCAAAAAAGCCAGCACCCACACACCCTCCTGCACTTAAGCCACACTTTCCAGGAACCTACACATTGTTGCACCTTGACCCTTAAGGCACACTTCCTTCCACAGGTTCATGCTTGCTCACCTGACATTGTGCACCTGGCCTGCAACCTTCCTCCCTTAATTATAGCTGAAACACCAACATCCACTCCCAAACAGGTGGACTTCTCTCATCTTACTGAAGAATACTTCAGACACCAAAGGAAAAAAAGACAGAACCAGTCTGAAGTACAGCCTCGAGGAACAAACAGCCAAGGTTAGAAATAAGCAGATGTCTAGAGGTTGGTATAAGAACACATCCGATAAAAATCAGGACATCATGGCTTCACCAGCAACCCCCAAAATCAATGGATATGCTAATTCATCAGAAACACAGGAAACAAAAAATGCTCTCAAAAAAATACAGGTAAATACAGCCAGACAAATAGGAGCATGGGTAGAGACACAAGTAGAGGCATATAGAGAAGAAACAAACAAAGAC